TATAATACCCTCTCGGCAGACTCATATATATCTTTTGAAACGGACTGCACAAGGTTTTTTTAAAAAAAGTTCCGCAACTTTAACCTCGAAAATTTGCAAGTCACGCTGAATAGTAAATTATTGTCAAATTATTCCACTTGAATGGATGCAAATCCACAGACATTTTCCTCACACAAAGCCCACCGCAGACATATAGACCCATTGGGTTTCCGCGAGACCAGCTTATTAGAACAGAAATGCAATGAAATGAAATTCTATTCTTGGCCCTCATTACTTATTAAGCGTTCTTTGCAAAAATGTACGAAAGGAATACATACAGGTAAAATGTGCCCCGGCTCTGGACGTATTTTAACAAAATTTAGTACTCAGGGTCCACACCAAAAGCAGTCGGGCGAATTTGCTTTGATTAACATTGGACAAACAACTTACAAACCCATGCGTTGCCTAGGTAAAGCCCAAATCGAAATTCGACAGTTTTGAAAATATCTGTTTTCACTAATAACACGCCAATTTTGATGGGCCTCGATGTAACTTACATATTACATGAAGCTCCAATACAATTACATGTAATGAAAAAACGGTCCTCATACGAAGCACCGACAGCTAACTCCGTAAAAGTAGACACACTCAGCTACTGAAAGAAGGTCCCACCTTTCTCGCAGTCCATAAGTTCATTGCCGTATTCACAAAAGCGCACCATATCATATCGCGAGCCAGTTAAATCCAGACCACATCTCACATCCCATTTTTAAGACCCATTTTAATATTATCCTTCCGTTTAAATCTAGCTTCTTCAAGCGATGACTTCAGTTTCACCGACTGGACATCACTTCTACCTGAAACTTTATTTCCCATATTGTAATTAATTATCTAATTAGAAGGTAAATCAATTACTGGCGTTCCGAAAAGAGGAAATTTCGGAAATATGCTGGAGTAAAGATGAAAATACTGTTCTTTCAATTATTGATGCATCTGTTCATCTCACAGTAACGCGACCCTGACGGACAGACACTCCACACGGTAAGTGAAGTAATGGACGAATTATGTAATATTCTGCAGATGGAGCTATTACGCACGAATGCCTCGTAACAAGGAACAAAAGTTTGCAGATGTCGGGAAACAGATTAAAACATTATTTACTCTCGCTTCATTACTTTCGGCAGAACGGATGACGCTGCAGAAATACTGAGCAGTTATTAACAGACAGAATTCGTCCTTTCCAGTCATAAATCCGTCACTTGACAAAATGACAATCGCTCAGCTCGGCAGTAAATGCATTACCTGTTATTAGGCTGAAAATTTATGACATTGTTTAGAAATTTCCGCCAATTAAAACCACCCCCTCCCGAGCCACCAACATTTTAGTTCTTAAAATTAATTTTAATATTGTACTTCCATCTATTTCTAGGTCTTCAAAGTGGTGTCTTCCCTTAGGGTTTTCCGACTAAAATTAGAGTGTATTTATTGTTGCCCCCCACCCCGCTGAGACTTATGTGTTACGCTCATTTTATTTGTTTTGAATTTTTTATCCTAAAATATTGTATTAAAAGTACAGTTACTAAGAGTTTACGAAAAGCCATACCGGAAACGTGTGTAGGAACGTAAGAATTGTTTAACAGACTGTAAGGCGCTATTAACGAACTAACTAGAACCCGAAGGTTCATCACCGCATTAACCAAAGCCCTCCACCGGACCCTGTTCTGGGCCAACAAAATCCAGTCTCCTTCAACTCCTATCTCCCATAGATCCCG